TAGTTTGCTCTCCCTGATGAGTTATTATTTTGGGTATTCTGAGGAAACTACACTCTTTGTCTCGAGTATTATGATACCCACAATTAAAAACAGCACAAAGAGTTGGCGTAATAAAGAAAATCACCAGTTTTAGCTTCACGACTGACTACACGTGCAGCCAAGCTTACGCTTTCGCGTGTTTGTATATCTTCCAACATGGCCGACTTCCGGTTTTTTAACCCTGACCTCAGATGAAGTGACGTCAAGTGAAAACGAAGAATACACAAAACAGTTATTTTTAAATTAACTATACTATAAAACGTACAAAATGTTACATCCTTCTTATTCTATAACCATTAATGACAGTAAATCACTTAATTCTATCAAAAAACACTGATTAGAAGAGATAAATCGAAAAGAATGCTCCCTTATATAGGAGCTCAAAGTGCTATACAAAGCACCTACAACGGCGGTTTACACGTTGAATATATTGAAAAATCGATAAAAAAAATGGTTGTGCACACATATTTTGTTAGCTTTTCGTAATTAATCACAACATATACCATAATCGAAATAGTGGAAAATATGGACTAAAATAAGTCCATGGTGTCAAGTTATTCACCTCTACAAAGTGAAATATCTTTTTCATAAATCATTCGTAGTTTCCAGAAAAGTAAAACATCAATAGTTTTTAGCTCGTTATTGAAAGATATTTAAAAACATGACTTACTACAGTTACGGAGACTCGAGAAAGAAAATATGAGATTTATATCAACCACACCACTCAGTTATTCAATATCCTGCTTGGAGTGCTGGCATGAAACTTAGAGAATTCAAAGGGTGCACGTGGAAAATCAGAAACCTACAAACTTTTTCAAAAATTTCAAGGGAATATTGTGAGAAACATGTGTTCGAGTTAGTTTAAAGGAGAAACATAGTCCGTTGGCGAAAAACATAACGAAAGCCTATGCCATCTTCTTAGCCACTTCTGCCTTATACTTTCTTGTGTTCATTGCAAGGCTGTATTCAACAAAAGCTCCAGCTCCTTATGTGACACCCTCAAAAAATCTTTTCCAGGTGGCTTTCTGGGTCAGTTTTTGTAAATTTTTTAAAGGGTAGGAGTGGGTGTAATTTCAACATAAATGACATAAATGATTGCTGATTAGGACTAAAAGGCTAAGGATGCAGTTTGTAACATCTTTGATGCTTGAAAAACTTGGCTACAGTATTCGAGAAAAATTGATTCGCTTAAAGTAAGAGAACTCACCTTGCAATTTATTTGATAAATTGTGGCAAGTTTAAAATAATGTGACATTTAATGGCTTAGCCCTACAAAACATTACATAAACCATGTAAGTGAACAAACTCCAACTAACTTCTACTTTCAACACACTACTGCGAAAACTCCAAAACTAGTTTCGTCTACGACTTTTTTTGTTTTTTGAACTGACGAGGTCGTAGACGAAACTAGTTTCGAAGTTTTCGCAGTAGTGTGTTGAAAGTAGAAGTTAGTTGGAGTTTGTTCACTTACATGGTTTAAATGGCGTTAAGTAATACTTTCTTGGCTTCGATAAGTATAATTTCACACCTACAAAACATTACCTTAAGAATATTACGAAAATACCTTTTTTATCTAATCCATAACAAGGACAATTATTTAAACTTCAAACTAAGACACCCATAAGCAACAGAATAAAGGTTGGACTTCATCGAAAAGTAGGGACTGTCTAAAGGATTTGAATGGGAATAAGCAATCGAAATTTTAGCCCAAATATGCTTTTTCCTTCGAGTCTTATGAGTACTACGGACTGTTTAGTCCGGTTTTAGTTCAACTTCTTTTCCTTCTATCAAACGAAATGCAAATATGGCGGACTACTCGGTCGGCCTGGATTTCGTCGCACGAAAGCGAAGCTAATAAGGTCTACGGTTTTATTTTGAGAACCTAGCTCTTAAAAAATGTCTCGTTGTCAATACGTCCTGTCATATTTTGCGATGCCTACAATTTGTTGTGTTCCTGGATGTCATGAAAAGGGAACAAAATTTTCCACGAGACAGAGTGTCTCGTTTCATGAGTTTCCCTGTTCGTCCAGCAGGAGAAAACAGTTTATACATGCAATTCGTCGAGACAAAGAAAAGCCATTTTGCCGCATTTAAGGTAAGAAAATATTTAACAAAAGATCCTTAACGAAAATTTGCACAACAACATTTGCAACTGAAGATGAAATAGGAATGTCGAAAAATGTATCGTAAAGTAAGAATTGTTCTTTCAGTCATTAGGATTAAGTCACTCTGCTCACTATACACCATACGATACATGAAATCAATCTTCGTTTGCATTTATAAAATAACACTACAAATTACTCTTCCCGCGTTTGCCTCACCCGCTTCTCAGCTTACCGTCCATTTATCGGAACAGACACGTTTACGATCTAACGTCTGCATACACAGTATCTGTACCACTAACACGTGGCATTGTTGCCTTCCGTCCAGGAACGGTCAGTTCACCAAGCTCGGCATACTGAAGTTCACCCGGCTTAGGTGTCTGCAAGTGACATGTACATTGAATCGATAAAGAAAGGAACTCTATATCCTTAGGTGGCATTTACTACGAGATGGAAAATTTCGGGAATAATTCTACCCGCAAAATATGAACTAAATACGATCTGTCGCAAAACACTTTCTAATGCAGATCTCTGTGCGGGTAACACACAATGAGGGGACTTTCTCAATTGTTGTCATTGATTGTTTTTGCTTCCTGTAGGTGCTTGTCCAAGTCCAAGCAAACAGGCAGTTAACACGCTGGCTTAAAAAGCGTTCTTCGGGCTTATCGTAGGCAATGAAGTTTTGTTTCTCTGTTGAGATAATCTTATAATTGTCTTATTCACCTTATCCCTTCTTTAAGTAATCAACGCAGACGTAAAACCATTTTTGCATGAAAAGCCAGCACGCCTTTATTAGCATGTATGCTTCAAAGTAATGACAGAAACTGCAACGGTGCTTATATTTAAATGTATTGCTATTTGCGATAGCACATTCATCTCGTGACTATACCTTCTTTTTCCTTTTAGTTTTGTCGACCACCGCATAATCAGGGATTCCCTGTTCGTTTCTTACATTGCCTCCTTTTCTGGGACAGTTGGCACCTGGACCCACATCTGCATAATTGTTGTCACAGCCTGCTTCTTGATCGCCGTCCCTACAAGGTACAACAACACTGCGTTACCATGGGCGTATACACCGGGGTAGAGGGGAGTAGATCTACGGTTTTCTGTTTTGAAGAGGAGGGCTTGCACAAAATACACATCATTTGGGAAACGAGAAAACTTTCTTAAGTAATACTGTTAATGTGATTTTCACAAGACGTAAATCACGTCTTTTGTTGCTTATCAAAAAATTGTTATGCACAGGTAACTCTGTGAGATTAGACTGTATGCTGTCAAGTGGTTTTTTCAAAGACGGTGTCATAATGAGTGAATCATCTCTAATAACAGTTGCTCTGAACTATCGTTAGTATGCAAATGTTACAAGTAATAATCAATGCACGCACAAAAACATACAAATAAACGGGGCAACAAAATGGCTTCACTTAAGTGACAGCGGCGAAAGTTAGCGGGAGACGTTACTTACCGTCTGCCTTGTCCTCCATTATTATCGACTTCTCACCGTACCGTGTAACAAAGAAAAAAAACAAATAAATAAATAAATAATATACATATAAACATACATATATACAAACAAACATTTATCAACATACATCTTGAAAGATCACCACCTAGGCCTACGTGGAATCAGAGTACTTTAAATATCAGTTTGTAAATTGTTTGGGTTCATGATGAGCAGGCCGGATCACTCTTCCTTAATTTCCATGTAAACTAGCCTAGCAAAAGCGTTTGAATTCAGCCAAAAGCGAGGCCTCCCAGATACTAGTTGGGTGCTTATCAGTAATAGTCATCACTCGAGACTTAAATGGAGCTGGATAAGTGTAGTTTGATGAGCGAAATCTCAAAAGTATTAAAACAATGATTAAAGGCTGATAGTTTCTAAAGAAACTGTTTGGGGCTGCGTCGGTGGGGGTAACGAAATAATTTGGATGTATCAACAATGTTGAAATGGTAAATTGGCCACCGTAAAGATTACAAAAGCTGACGTATCGAGCGTTAGCCCTTCGTCGGAGCAAATAGAGGAATTGTGGGTTGTGTGTGCTTTTAAAGGCAGAAAATGGAGCTACGTTATTGGTGGGAACATGGCAACGAGAAAAACACGAATAAATTAGTGGAATGAAAGTGGAATTAGTGGAATGTATTAAAACATGGTCGACTCTACATATTACCAGTCCACTAGACGCATGTTTATTACGTTGGAGAAAATACCGCTGATCATTACACCACCAACTAAGCCACAGTGTACGAAGCTACACGTTGTCGGTGAAACTAAGTCTACAAGGTTCAGCTATCCCATGTAGGAATATGATCACAATTTATATAAAATAAATTTCATTTTGACCTGTTGATAACCTCGTAGTTGGACTGCCACTTGAGCAATTGCATAAAAGAACCTAAAAAAAATTTTGGCTCCAACAGGATTTGAACCCTTGCCTCCCAAATACTAGTTGGGCGCTTTTTCCAACTGAGCTACGAAGCCAAGTAGGCTTATTTACCAGCGCTTGGGTAAAAGAATAATGATCATGTCCACCATTACTAAAGGAGTCTCTAACAAAAACGTATGTAAATGTAAATACTGCCATAAAAATGAAGATGCAATGTCTTCCTGGGCCAAAATATTGCCTTGATAGACCCTTTTAACGAAGCGTACGACGATGAAGTTTCTTAACATCCTTTCAGATTGGGAAGACCTTGAAGAATTTGAACGGGATCGACGAAAGAGCTAATAATTATAAAGTCACAACAACATCCGTTTACCGAGTTTGTTTCTCAAGTCATTTTCAAAAATCTCTCTCTGAAACATTAGCTTAGGAAGGGTAGCGATCCCAACTATTTTAAGCTAGCTTGGTACAATTTTTC